AACCGGTTAAAGATATCCCGAGCTACCATCTCCCGGCGGAAAGATCCAGTAACCAAATGCTCCCTGGCCTCCGTTGGAGTGAGTAGCGACCATGAACGGATCAGTGCCGTAGTTCGGAATATAACCTGCAAAAAATGAATACATGATATTCTGTTAAAAACCAAATCATTTCTGCAAGTCCAGATAGTCCATAGCAAAGCGCAAACCCCAACCCGAATGTGTTTCGCTAAGTCAGGCTCAATCCCATTCAGCCATGTCCCAAATAACGCGTTAACAGAATTCGGTGGTTTGATATTAAAAGCAATGTGAACCGTCTGCCAAAGGACTTTGGCCAACGGGCAATCAAAAAAGAGGTGTTTGATTGTCTCATCCCGATCACAAAAACTACACCTAGTAGGTCCTGTCCAATTACGCTTTATCAAATTGTCCTTGGTTAAAATAACTTGTTTATGGACAAACCACATAAACACTTTTATTTTCAAAGGAACCCTTCCTCCCAACTAGACGGAGCCATTCCTCCCAACGGTTGCCCGCCAGCGTCCGTCGGAACTGAATATTAAGGGGGATAGTTTGAAACACCGAAGCTACGAACACCTCACATCTTTGAACAATACGATACAAAGACGGATATTGGATGGCCAAAGGTGTCTCGCCGAGCCAAGTATCCTCCCAGAAACGTGTGCTATTACCGTTGCCAATAACAAAATTCATCCTATTAAATAAAGATTGTTTGACTTTCATCAGTCCTTTCCAGAAAGGTGAATCAGTCGGCCTGACTGTAACCTGGGACAACATTTTGGTCTGAAGGTACTTGCTGCGAAGAATTTGAGCCCACATGGCATCATGCTCCGATGAGAGATTCCACAGCCACTTTCTAAGAAGGCATCTGTTCTTAACTTTGAGGTTCTCTATACCAAGACCCCCTTGGTCTTTCGGTCTACAGAGGATATCCCATTTAGCAAGTCTGTATTTTCTTTTAAGCTCATCACTCTGCCAAAAGAACCGCGATCGATAGAAGTCTAGTCTCTTCCGAACAGCAACTGGGACCTCAAAGAACGAGAGGATAAACATAGGCATACTTGTGAGCACCGAGTTAATCAGAATTAGTCGGCCTCCGTATGACATGAGCTTACCCTTCCAGCAATTCAGTTTCTTCTCAAATCTGTCCTCGATGCACTTCCATTCTCTGTTTGTCAGCCTACGATGGTGGATTGGAATACCGAGGTAAGAGAAAGGTAACTCTCCCAACTCGCACCCAAACAATTGCCTATAAGCCTCCTGTTCGTCTTTGGCTCTACCAAAACAGAACATCTCACTCTTATTAAAGTTAATCTTTAACCCGGTCAATTGTTCAAATAGGCATAACACCAGCTTCATATTTATCGCCTTGGCCAAGTCATGCTCCATAAAGATGATCGTATCATCAGCGTATTGAAGTATGGAAACACCTCCATCAACAAGATGAGGTACCAATCCACCTACTTGACCATTTTCCTTAGCCCTTCGTATCAAAATTGCTAACATATCCACCACAATGTTAAACAAGATAGGGGACATCGGATCTCCTTGTCTTAGGCCTTTATGTGTCTGGAAATAATGACCTATGTCGTCATTTACTTTAATTCCCACACTAACTTTTGGCGTAAATGATTCAACCTGTCGGCGCCAGGCTTCATGAAAACCTTCCATACGCAAAGACTGTTGGAGAAATGGCCATTTGACCTTATCGTACGCTTTCTTGAAATCCACCTTAAAAATTACTCCATCTAATTTTTTGGAATGGATTTCATGGAGCGTTTCATGCAGGACTACCACCCCTTCAAGGATATTTCTGTCCGACATGAAAGCAGTTTGGGACTGTTGCACCACAGAATGCGCAATCTGTGTGAGCCTATTAGTCTCGACCTTGGTGAAGATTTTGAAACTAACATTGAGGAGGCATATCGGTCTGAATTGCTCAATCCTCACAGCATCCGGTTTCTTAGGAAGCAATGTGATAGTTTCAAAATTCAAGTGGAATAAGTGAAGCTGTCCCGAGAACAGATCCTGGAACATAGGTAGCAGATCCCCCTTAATAATGTGCCAACAGTTTTTATAGAATTCGGCCGGGAACCCATCCGGTCCGGGAGCCTTATTGCTTTTCATCTGTGCAATAGCATCAAACACCTCCTTCTCAGAGAACGGTGCAACCAGAATATCATTTTCGGCAGCCGATAGTTGAGGCACATCCTCAGTCCTAGACTCGTCGAGGGACACACAATTATCCTCCGGCGGTCCAAATAACTGCTTGTAATACTCGGTAATATAAGTTTTCAGGTTATCCTGTCCTAAAATCGTGCCCTCCTCTTGTTCAAGTTGAAAATTTCGCTTCTTTCGGTGCTTGCCATTAGCTATTAAATGAAAGAATTGAGTATTCGCGTCCCCTTGGACCACTTTGCGGACTTTAGCTCACAAAGCCCACTTTAATTATTCTTCGCGGAGTAGTTCTTTCAACCTCTTCTCCGCCTCAGTTTTAACCCCAAGCTCAGATGGCAGAAAAATCGTAGATTCGGCCTTTATGTCTAGGGCCTGTATAAGAGATAGGAGTCTATCCTTTTCAATCTTATACACACCACTGAGGTGCTTAGCCCAACCCCGTAAGAAGCTTCTCAAGTGCCTAATCTTATTCTGCCAACGCTCGACCGCAGTCGTACCTCCTGTACCTCTATCCCATTCCCTGGCAATCAGGTCCAAAAACCCCTCTCGTTCAAACCACGACATCTCGAAAGAAAAGGTGTTTTTGTTCCCCACGTGGTTCGGCTCCCCTGAATCCATGAATAAGGGTGTGTGATCGGATATTCCCCTCGAGAGAGCTTGCACCGTAACCAGGGGGAACTTTTGTTCCCACTCCACGCTTGCGAGAACTCGATCAAGTTTTTCATAAGTTGGGTTTGGTAGAGCATTAGCCCAGGTAAACTTTCTACCAGAAAGCTCGATCTCCCTCAGATCCAAGCTTTCAATAATGGTATTGAACATAAACGACCATCTGCCGTCAAAGTTACCATTATTCTTCTCCTCTCTCCTCCTAATGATATTGAAATCACCTCCAACTAAAAGTGGAAGCTGTTCCGATCCACAGATTCGGACAGGATCCGCCAGAAACTCTGGTTTAAGCTCAGGCTGTGCGGCACCATATACCGCCACCAAAGCCCAGTTGAAACCATCTATTTTAGACCCGACTCGAAACTTCACCGCGAAGTCGCCCATCACTACACTTCGGACTTCAAGCGAATCGCATCTCACGCCAAGTAAGATACCACCCGATCTTCCTCTCGCGGAGGGAGGTAATGCCAATCGAAATCAATACCACCCACAAGAGAAGACAGAAACTGGGGTGCAAAGTTTTCTCTACCAGTCTCCGATAGAGCAACGAAGTCCAAACGCTGCTCTAAAGCTGCCTCAGCAAGAAACCTTCTTTTAGCCAGTTCCTCCTCTCGTCTGCTTTTCCTGAACCGCTGCTCTGTTTTTGCTTGACCTCTGCTCTGCAAGGGACAACAGTAAGCAACTACGTACTACGTTTGTCAACTGCTCTGGAACTGCATTCCTCTATCGCTACCCGTGCAGCCTGTACTATACTACTCCCCCCTTCCTAAATATTTCATCCGTTCCAAAATAAGTGACTCGACTTTGTACTAGCTTTAGTACAAAGTTAGTACAAAGTCAAGTCACTTATTCTGGGACCGAGGGAGTATAAGTCTTTTTAAAGATTCTAATGTGGACTACATACGGAGCAAAATGAGTGAATCTACACTCTAAAATATGTCTATATATATTTGTATATAGTTTATAATAGAATCTCTAAAAAGACTTATATTTAGAAACCGGAGGGAGTACAATTTTGGCTCTGGAATTCCAGCGCCACCACCGCTCTCTTAATTTTCTACAGGGCATTGTCCTAGCTTCAAACAAAAGAGCAGGAGAACATTCAATTAGGCAGTGGTGAACTACCGTTGCTTTTGTTGCTGTGAATTGATGCAAGCATGATTGACTGAATTTGCAACTGTGTAGTCGCCTGGTAGCTGGTGTGGAGTTGCCCGAAACAGAGCAGCTCTGTTTTTTGCTGCATGCTCTGTACGGTTTTGGCTCTGCAATTCTAGCACTACCCTCTTCATTTCTAGCCTAGCCTAGCTTCAAAGAACAATAACGACTGGTGCCATAAGTAAGCAGGCATATTTCCGTAAGCAGCAGATTCAGTCGATGAATTCTGGACCTATTTGAACAAACAAAATCTCTCAGCCACTGATTTCTTTCTTACAGTAGCAGTGATTACTTGGAACATTATTGAGCGATATACATCTTACGCATCGCATTCCCAACTTGTGACCCTTTCTCGCCAGTCTTAACACTCTCGGCTAAATAGGGCAACAACATATATTACTAATGACGTATATTACTCAGTAACAGAGATTAGTTCAAGACTGAGTAATATACATCAAGTACATAGTACATAGACGGCCATTCCAGAGATATTATAGGAATGAATCAAAATGTGGTAGTACATACTTTACTGCGTACATAAAAATTTCCAGACTTTTCTACAATATTCAGTACTATTTCAGCAAGCAGCACAGGAGGTTTAAATTAGTATTGCATATTCACCGGGAACTCCAGAGCTAAAGAAAACTTCCATGTCACTGAAATTTTTTATACAGTAACAACAATTACTTCAAAACTGAGAAATATACATTACATTGATAGAATTTCAGTCCATAAAGCTACGGCCATAACCTTCTAAGAAAATCTAATCTATGAACGGCAGAAACTAATAACAAGTTGTAGAGGGTACCTGAAAAAACATGAATGAAAAAAATATTTACATAGACAAAAGTGCTTTTGAGTTTTGACTTGTACATACGTAATTAACGGACTGAACAAATACATCAATCCTTTTTTTTTCTGAGAAGGAGGATCACCCCCGGAACGCATAAATAATCCTACAATCACTGACATAGTCATCCCAATCAAAGGCAAGTGAAGCATTTAGCGCTTGGGTCCATGGACTGATCTTGAACGCCAACATATCTGTATGGAATTGCTTCAACAAAATTCCAGTAAGCGCCTCCTCTTGAGAATTCCTCTTCCAAGTTGGGGCAGTCTCTGATCCATAGCATCTTGAGGGCTGGGAGCTGCTGCAGGAGTCCCTCTGGTAGTGTCTCTAACCTTGGGCACCGCTGCATTTCCAACGTCCCGAGTTTAGTGACTCCATAATCTCCATCTGGAAATGTCGTCAGGGCTTCACACTCAAGCACACTCAATGCTTTCAATTTGTCGACATTCCGAATTGTTGCCATGGACACGAGGTTGGGACAAAAAGAGATCGACAAAATTTCAAGAGATGGAGGCAACTTTGGAACCTCCCACAATTTCTCACAATCCGTAATTGTAAGACTCTGGAGTGGAGGAAGCAGGATGTTTTCCCTATCAGATATTGTTGATGTAAGTGAACCAGTTAAGTTGGAGCAACCAGAAAAATGTAGATCTCGAAGATGATTCAAGTTTCCCAATTTTGCCGCTGGCCATTGTACTATATTATTGATGCATGAAACCAACATTCCTTCAACAAAACCAAAATGGTTCCATATATCTCGTTGCATTTGGCATGGTTCAGATGAGAAAAGGCCATCACAATCTATTATAGTCAGGTTCTTCATAAATCTGGAAGGGACTTTGTTCAACTCCCCTTGAAAGCGCTCTACATTGTCCGTCAAACCTCTCAGTCTCAGGAACACATAAGAATCAATAGACATCGAGAAATGAAGGTCAAAATGAAGGTCATCAACAATCAACTGACCAACCGCAGGTTCCACTTCAATGGAACCTTTGCACTCAAGATTAGACTGCACAGACAGATTCATCAGATGGTAAAGGGGAATGTCTCTTGCCACTAGATCTTCAAGCAAAGGGAGCACCTTGGGCATGCTTGCTAGCATTGGGCATTTAGAAATATTTAGCTTCTTGAGACGAGGGAATGATACATCCGGTTCTTGTCCTGCCATCTCTTGGTGCCATCTCTCTAGCTTAGGCATGTTTGAAACTACCATAGTTTCCAATTTACCAAAAATAGGTGGTGGAGAAATACATGATTCCCCATTGTGTGTATCATGATTAACAATGCATATACTTGCCAAGCTATCAAAATAATTCAAACACAAGCTCACGAGGGAGGGCAGCTGCCATAATGGTGGAAGATCCTTGCAATTCTTGCATCCAGTCAGAGAAAGTTCAGTGAGATGTTCTAGCAGTGTAGAGTTGTTCATCCATGATGATAATTTAGCACCAGTATAATTGGACAACATTAAAACTTCAAGCCTTTTGTGAGGACGAAGGGCCTCTAATATTCCTTCTGCATTAGTATCTACTTCATATCCAACATTTATGCTAGAAGGTCCATACCAGTCGAGTGACAATCGTTTCAAATTATGCTTGGAAGACATATTGCCTTGTTTAGAATTTTCTGCACTATGCACTTTTCTCAGATCAGTCAAAGAAAGAGCACCACCCAGATTCAGATCTCTCAATTGATCAATTCCGCGATCTGCATCACTACCAATGACATAATTTGTTAATGTCACTAGAAAATTCAGCTGACCAATACCTTGTGGCATGCACTTCAGACTATCACATTGAATGAGGAAGATGTGTCGAAGACTACTCATATATCTCATCCCTTCTGGTAATTTCTCAAGATATTTACAGTAACTGACCTTCAACGTTTGCAAGCTATACAACATGGTAACAGCTTCAGGCAATGCAAATATACTAGAATAAGAACAATCTAGGTAACGAAGATGCTTCAGATTTGTCATGTGCGCCTTGAATGGGTCTATCTCCAGTGCTCGTAAAGATATGAATTTTGACTTCGCCATAAGCATAAGGTTGGTTAAATCCTGACGATGCTTAAACCTCATTCCAATTAAAAGTGTGCGGGGTCGCTTATCTAGAATTTCTTTCATGGCTGCAATGGTATAATTATCAACATATTCAACTGACAAATGCCGAACCTCATGTTGTAATGTACGAGCATCTGTGGATCCTTGCAGATTGTCTTGACATGATGAAGGTTTTTGCAGAACTGAGCAATCATTTCCGCTTACGGAGTCAGCAAGATCATGCATGAGATCATGCATCTTGCAAGTAGTTGGTTGGTGGATGAATCTATTGTTTTGAACTTGCATATCTTGTAGGAAACATCTCCAAACTAGCACATCAAAAATTTGTTGGCCTCTTGCTTCTGATGCAATAAAGTCATTTGCCATCCATAGCTGGATTAACGTGTCCTTATTCATCATGCTATCTTTGGGGAAAATGGCACAAAAGGAAAAGCATATTTTTGCTTCCGATGACAAGTGATCATAGCTCAATTGTAGTGCAGGTATAATCCCGGTTGCTAGTACATCATTCATCCAGACATCACTTTCCAGAACAGAAAACCACTGATTGTGATGCTTGGAATGAAGTAAAGTTGCCATGGTTTTGATAGCAAGAGGCAATCCCTTACACTTGTCGACAATACTCTTAGCCATTGAAATCAATTCCTCTTGCTTTTCCACTCCCCTTCCAAATGTGTTTCTGTGAAAAAGCTCCCATGATTGATCCTCATTTAGGAGTGATATTTTACGTGGAGGAAGTGTGCCCATGATAGAAGCAACTTGATCGCTTCGGCTTGTCACAATTATAGAACTACCTAAGCCAGCATGTGAGTTTAGCAATGATCTCATGGCCTCCCACTTTTGTCCATCTTCACTCCAAACACCATCCAATACTAGGAGGTACCTTTTATTGCCCAAAACTTCACAAAGTTCCTTTCACAGTGCCTCCATCTGAGTGAAATCACACTTCTTCATCATGGCCACTTCTATTATAGATCTGATTATTTCTTCGATAACAAACTTGTCAGAGACACAGACCCATAAGACCAACTCAAAATGATGCTTCACCCTCTGATCATTGTACACAAGTTGGGCAAGGGTAGTCTTACCAATCCCCCCCATACCAACTATGGGGAGTACCAAGACATTATTATCAGCATCATCACTACTATTGTCGGAGTGCTCAAGCAATATCTTCACCACTCGTTCCTTCTCATCTTGCCTGCCTACAATCTTGGATTCATCAATATGAGAGTATGTTTGCGGACGATTGATGCTTGGTACCTCGGCATGTTGTAGGAAGTGAAAATTGTTCATCTCCATGACCAGTTCATCAATCATTTCAAGAGCATCCTTCATCTTCCTACTCATCGAGAGACGGAAAACAACAGGACGGTTAAGTAGCTTAGCACCTGAAGTGAATACAAATAAAAAGGAAATTAGAAGGCATGGATTTCCAAATTAAAACCGTAAATTGACATTGTAAAGCTTCCATTTCCAAATGAAAACCTTAAATTGAAATGAAAAGACTTTTGTTTTACAAATTAAACTGAAAGCAGAGCTAGCCGAATGAGAAATTTTCATTGCAATTTACCACCACTACAGGAAAAAACTTTTAAACCGTGTGTCCAATACACTCGGCTTATGCCGATTTGCACTCGGTATATATATATAAGCCGTGTGTTTTTCCTGGCTTATACCACACGGCTTACTAAGGACAGGCCGAGTGCCATGAGGAAAACACTCGGTTTATATATAAGCCGAGCATCTCCACGTAAGCCAAGTGCCAAGAGACACACGGTTTATACATGACGGCAGCCGGGCATTAACGGCAAGCCACTTGTCTATCTATGTAAGCCGAGGGTCGTGGCATGCCGCATGGCTTATATATAAGCCAGGTGTCGAATCTGGTCGCACGGTTCACATATAAACCGAAGGCTAAGGCGAGACGCACGGTTTATATAAAAATAGAAGGCCGAGTCGAGACGCCCGGTTTTATACATAAACCGAGTGCCCATTCTCCCGGCTTACATTTAGCATGGTCGCACTACTGAAATCGGCTTTTTCGTAAACTTACTTAAAATCATTTTGTTTAAAAGGCTGCCGGCGCCGCCGGCGCCGACGCGTTCGCTGATGCTCATCTTGCTCCGTGGCTACTGCTCGTGTGGGGAGGCGCCGATGTGGGGGTGTTTCCCCCAGGCGACGAAGATGCCAGCTAGCAGTGGCGCTCGACCAGCGAGCGAGACGACGACGTTGCAGTGGCCGGCGACCTAGGCGAAGGGGGAGGGGGGGGGGTCGGAAACGGTGAGCTGACGTCTGGATCCTGCCGGATCCCGATGAGTTCGACGGAGATATGGAAGAGGTTTAACCACGACATGTCCCTGCTCGACCGAGAGGGCATTTCAGTATGCCCCGTCGATGATTACGTGCACTCGCTATCTCACTGCCTCGCTTGTGTCAGCGTCCCTTCCCTGTTGTCTGTCGCATTCTATTTGTCGTGATTGTTTCCTTGCAAGGGAAAATAGTTCATCAGCATGAGAAAATGTTTCTATTTCCTGTAAATAATGCTTCCATGAGGTGACCAAGTGCTTCCTAACTTTGCTCCTATAATGTTTCTTTAGTACTTTGCTAGTACATACTCCTGTAATGCTTCGATAATAATGCTAAGATATTCTGGCTATCACTATAATGTGCTTCTTATTTTCTTCTGGTGCAAATCAAACATCTTTGGAAGCAATGTTTGATGCATACTCTTCCTATGCAGGAAGCAATATTTGTTGCACAATGTCATGAGCAACAGCGGAGTGGTGACCTTCGCTTCCCCAAGGGCTTCTCTGCAGCCATCGAGGGTCAGTGTGTAGACGGAGATGCCGACAACGACATGGCTGCTAGGGGTGGCACCGGCAATGGCGAGGACGTCGACCGACAAAAACAGCATCCCCCTCTCCCATCAGCTGGTATGCCACAATGCTACTCGAGTACTAAAACAATATTGGGCAATATTGATGCAATCAGGAAGTAGCTAACATGAATATGTGCATATGTGTCGGTGCTACTACTGGAGCAAGGAATGAAACTAAAGGGTGCATGTTTTTTTTTATGTTGACGAAGCACTGAATGATATTCTAGGAAGCTCTGTAAAATTCTGTTGGAAGCAAGTAACTTTGATTAAACATATTAAGTATATACGAAAATTGAAAAAGAAGCATACAATGACAATGGTTGAAACAATAATTGAAATAATGGAAGCATATCTGATGAACATTTAAATATTGCTACTGGATGAGAATTTGAATCAGTTGTGAACTTGTCTAATTTAAATCATGGAAGTGCTTAAAAAAATCATGGATATGTGATCCGTTGATTTTGTTGGTGCCGAAACAATACAATAATAAGTTATGCAGATTTATTAAATTTTGTACAAAGCAACTGAATTGCTAGTGAATGAAAGAATTGAAAGCATAATGCATGGAAGCATTTTATCTAAAAAATGAAGGAAGCACGCCACCTGATAGTGCTGCGATTTACTACTGATTATGAAGCACAGCTGTAATGTTGGAAGCATGACTTCCATATAACCGAAATAAGCATATGAAGCATGGTTTGTGGGAAACATATGAAGCACGGCCATAGTAAATCAAAGAAATATCGATGGTTTATTGAGGGAAATCAATGGCAAGCATCACCAGATGGAAATTGTTTAGATATGGAATCCGTGCGTGCTTCATGGAGCAGTTTCCTTTTAGCAGTTAAAGAGCTAGCGCTGATGGATGGAAACTTAATTACCAAAGGCCTTAAATCGGACGCTTAAATCAACTCCAATCCTACGGCAATGGACTGGTCTGATAGATAGCTAGGGATCAGTAGTGTGATCCCTAGTGGTTCCCGGAGATAATGTAGCTCGTGGGTGGCACGTGGGAGTTGAGATAAAAGGCATATTCGGTTTTTATGCCCGCCACGTCACTGATCCGTGGGTGCAACCTCTTGGCCAATAGGGAGCATTCAACAATTGTGTGCTTTCTTTGCATACTATATTTCCTTTTCTTACTTTTATTTTTATGTATTTTCTGCTTCTATAAATTCACCACAGACTGTACGTGTTATAAGAGTGCATCACGCCAAGTTTCATATTTTTCTGAGTTTTTTTTGCATTTTTTGGAGTTAAATAACCAAAAAACTCCATGTTTTGGGTCAAATCTTGACACAATTATGTTAGAAAAACATTTTATTTTCTTGTATAAGGCATGAGCATAGACTCAAGAACACAAATATGATTTTTCAATCACGTTTTGACAACCGTTTCAAGCACCTATGGTTCAAATTTGAATTATATTCGTTAAATGTCTAGAAATGCACTTAATGACTCGAATATAGTAAACAGACTCGAAAAGATGCCAAATTTTGGCATGGATCAAGTAGTGATGTATCTTGAGTGCATAAAAAATTTCAAGACCAAATCTTGAGTGCATAAAAAGTTTCTAAGGGATGTACGTCACAACTTTTTTCAAACCGTCTCAAAAATTTACCACAGATTGTAGGTGTCATATGAGGGCACCATGCCAATTTTTATGCATTTCGGAGTTCGCTTACATTTTTTGGAATTTGTAAAATGAAAGATTGCATGTTTGGGGTCCAATCTTGGCACCCTCATATTTGGAGTTCCTTTGCTTTTCTTGTATAAGGCCTAAATAAGTACTAAATAACACAAATATGATTTTTCAACCCAACTTTGCCCAATTGTCATGCACTTGTAGTTCAAATATGAATTATATTCGTTAAATGTCTAGAAATGCACATAATGGCTCAAATATAGTAAACGGACTGGAAAAGATGCCAAATTTTGGCATGGATCAAGCAATGGTGTATCTTGAGTGCACAAAAAAAAATTCAAGACCCAATGATGAAGCAACGTTCGCTCACCTTCATATCTCACCCGTTCCCTCTCGAAAACAAGTTTCTTCCTCAGAGATGGTCTAGTTTCTAAGCGATGTACATCACATTTTTTTCCAAACTGTCTCAAATTTTTACCACAGGTTGTAGGTGTCATATGAGGGAACCATGCCAATTTTTATGCATTTCAGAGTTCGCTTACATTTTTTGGAATTTGTAAAATGAAAGATTGCATGTTTGAGGTCCAATCTTGGCACCTTCACATTTGGAGTTCCTTTCCTTTTCTTGTATAAGGCCTAAACATATACTTAAGAACGCAAATATGATTTTTCAACCCAACTTTGCCCAATTTTCATGCACTTGTAGTGCAAATATGAATTATATTCGTTAAATGTCTAGAAATGCACATAATGGCTCAAATATAGTAAACGGACTCGAAAAGATGCCAAATTTTGGAATGGATCAAGCAATGGTGTATCTTGAGTGCACAAAAAAAAATTCAAGACCCAATGATGAAGCAACGTTCGCTCACCTTCATACCTCACCCGTTCCCTCTCGAAAACAAGTTTCTTCCTTAGAGATGGTCTAGTTTCTAAGCGATGTACATCACATTTTTTTCCAAACCGTCTCAAATTTTTACCATAGCTTGTAGGTGTCATATGAGGGCACCATGCCAATTTTTATGCATTTCAGAGTTCGCTTACATTTTTTGGAATTTGTAAAATGAAAGATTGCATGTTTGGGGTCCAATCTTGGCACCCTCATATTTGGAGTTCCTTTCCTTTTCTTGTATAAGGCCTAAACATATACTAAAGAACGCAAATATGATTTTTCAACCCAACTTTGCCGAATTTTTCATGCACTTGTAGTTCAAATATGAATTATATTCGTTAAATGTCTAGATGCACTTAATGGCTAAAATAAAGTAAAAGGACTCTAAAAGATGCCAAATTTTGGCATGGATCAAGCAATGGTGTATCTTGAGTGCACAAAAAATTTCAAGACCAATGCATGAAGCAACGTTCGCTCGCCTTCATACCTCACCCGTTCCCTCTCGAAAACAAGTTTCTTCCTCAGAGATGGTCTAGTTTCTAAGCGTTGTACATCACATTTTTTTCCAAACCATCTCAAAATTTTACCACAGCTTGTAGGTGCCATATAAGGGCACCATGCCAATTTTATGCATTTCGGAGTTCGTTTGAATTTTTTGGATTTGTAAAATGAGAGATTACATGTTCGGGGTCCAGTCTTGGCACTCTCATGTTTGGAGTTCCTTTATTTTTCTTGTATAAGGCCTAAACATATACTAAAGAAAACAAATATGGTTTTGATTTTTCAACCCAATTTTTCATGCACTTGTAGTTCAAATATGAATTGTATTCGTTAAATGTCTAGAAATGCACTTGATGGTTCGAATATAGCAAACGGACTCGGAAAGAAGTCAAATTTTGGCATGGATCTTGTAATGGTGTATCTTAAGTGCAGAAAAAAAATTCAAGACAAATTGATGAAGCAACGTTCGCTCGCCTTCATACCTCGCCCGTGGAGAGCGTATAAACATATACGCAAGAACACACTTATTATTTTTCAACCCAACCTTGCCGACTTTTGTATGCATTTACACTTCAATTTTTTATTGTACTAACAAAAATGTATAATGTCTAGAAAATTCACTTGATGCCTATAATTGAAAATAGAGAGAGGAGGAGGAAACATATTTTTTAAACGTAAGAAAGAACATCGCATAAAAGAGAAAGAGAAAAAAAATATAATGGATAAAATAAAATAACTAGGAAAAGGAGAAGAAAAAAAAATAAAAATAAATGGTTGCCGTGTGCAATAAAAACACTCGGCAATGAAAAGGGACAGAAAATTTTAAAAGAAAAAAAGAAATGTTTTTTGAGTGCAAAAAAGAGGAAGTCGGCAAAGATTTCTTTACCGAGTGCAAAATGAAAAGGAATTCGGCAAACATTTCTTTACCCAGTGCAAAAAAAGTAAGCCAGCAAAGATTTCCTTGCCCAGTGCAAAAAAGAAAAAACTCAGCAAGAATTTCTTTGCCCAGTAGGCCTTTTGACCCGACTCAAGAGGGGTTTGATCAGGGTGAACTCCTATTGGTTTGTGTTACGGTAGTACTCTATGGTGACATGCTAGACCAAGTTTGAGCACACCTTCTCAAGATTCCCCACCTGCGGCGCTAAGTGCAACACCAACATTGTAGGTGCAAAACCTTTCTACGGTATTGTCGTGTTTGTGAAGCGAGTGCCGCATCAAAGTGTTGTATTGAGTATGTAGACATTATACCACCCTTCCATACATATATTTGGAACACATGCATGTGTGGGTGTGCTCTTTCGACACTTGTTCGCATGGTTTTCGGAGATGAACCGACCCGTTGGGCCCACGCGATCTACCCCTTTGACCCGACTCGAGAGGGGTTTGATCAGGGTGAAATACTATTAAAATAGTAAACATAAATGAACGGCAATCATTTTGAAACTTTTTTGCGTTAAAAAATAGGCTTGCAAGAGATCTTCAAAATGTAAGCCGAGTACACGCATGAAGCACTCGGCTTATATGCCTTGTAAGCCGAGTGCTTCCTGAGGGCACACGGCTTATATGTCATGTAAACCGAGAGTTTTCAAGGGGCACACGGCTTATAGGCTGCTCCGTGACGGCGACGTCAACACTATCATTGTAGACACGTGGCGAATATCTTTGCCGGGTTCCAACCGTAAGCCGAGTGCTTTCTCGTGTAGAAGCCGTGTGTGGCATGTAAGCCGAGTGCTTTTTCTTGTAGAAGCCGTGTGCCTAGTGTAAGTCGCGGGCTTTTTGATATCTCTCGGTTTACATGATACTATAAGCCGAGTGCCTTTTGTTTGCCGGGTGTTTTTTATTTTGTACTCAGCTTAGAGGAACATAAGCCTAGTGACCGGAAAATAGCTCACGGCTTATATGACCTAACACACGCAAAACGGAATTTTCCTGTAGTGCACTGTTTTAGAGAAATTATGAAAGAACGTGTGCAACAAATATGCAACTGTTCGCTGACACTTGACAGACTGCCTTAACCTATGTCATGTTTATATCAAGTCCTGTTCTTGTTTCTAGCTGCCTGTATCGAGGCCAGTAGCTCAGCAAGCCAATGTCTTGCTTTTCTGCTTGGTATGGGTGTAACATTTTACACCCGTATTTATTTTACAGGTGTATTTCACAGGTAACAGCGTGATTTTCACCTGGAAAAAGAATGACGGAGCTCTGTATATTTTACAAGTGTGTATATGGCCGTGGAACGACGATCCAATCAGGGCCTTAACCGAACAGCATCTTCCAAGCGGAAATGTATTCAATTCTACAGTGTATTACTGTATTTGTAGTGCATAGGAATTTACAGAGCTCCCAAACGGGGCCAAAACTGAAAAAAGAGCCAGCCGGAATGGTAAGAGGATGTAGGACGGACGAACCTTGCGTGTGGTGGAGCAGCAGCGGAGCTGAGCGTCACGGCGGCGCAGCACCTCGTAGCGGAAGTCATCGAGGACGTCGTCGGCCTGGTAGGCGGCGGTCTTGAAATCATTGATCCACCGTCGGACGGCGGGGTTGGTGTGGCTTTTGGCGTCGGCGTCCAGCAGGATGGACTGGACGGCCGCGAGGTGGCGCTCCAGCTTCTGGCGGGACTTGTCCAGCCCCCATGCCCGCAGCAGCTCGGTCACCAGCGCGTCGCCGGCCTTGGCCGCCACGCGTACCAGCAGCGGTATGAGCAGGGAACCCATGTCGCCGCCGCCGGTGGTGGCTCAAATGGATGGTTGCTCTGGTGCGGTGGTGTTAGACCCCGGGAGTGAGATCTGACGAGAAACTCTATACCGGTGTGGAGGCAAACTAGGGTGTCTCAGCACTCAGAAATTGCCCATGATTGCCAGGCTGGTTAATCATATGGCCGGCTGTTAAAATACAGTAGTATATGTTAGTATAACGGGTATTCAAGTTCAATTGGTTTTGTATAAAATAAAGTGTGGTTAGATGCACTTGTCACATATATATGCATCGAACCAAGTTTACCCTGACTACAAACATTTCGGTACAGAGGTATTATCTTTGAATTCTAGAATCCTTGTCACTAAACGAAGGACAAGAGATCAAAACAATTAGCACATTTTTAGCATTATAATTACATAGATTAAGATCCAATTACTTTGCTCGCTTCCTGACAAATGGTCCTTGCGTGGCCTGTTTGTCAGTATGTTGAAGAGCAACGTGTGTGTTAGTTAGTTGGCTAAAATATATATGCCGCTGCTGCATAATGCATGAGTGAGACAATTGTAGCATCGACTTTGTGTCTAATAATTTAGCCACTTGTTTGTCACCGTGTATCTTTGATGAGGGATTCAAGTTGGAACGTACTAGTATATTAAGTTGGTGCAGGCACTGTATACAAAACGACAATACCTTGGCACGTTAGGCTTACCTACTGTTTAATTATCTTGTTCAAGAATCTGTTTACAAGTAAACAACTATTGGGGATGGCACCAACTAGTAGTTGAGGCTTCCATCCTTGTCGTAACAACGGTACACTTAGCTCGGCCGAATCCAGATGATTAAGTGAGAACATTAGATAACTAGTGTGCATTTGGAGTGCTCGGCAAGGTCTTATGTTTTTTTTCCTTCTAAAAGGGGTATACCCGACCTCTGCATCAGAACGATGCATACGGACATATTATTAATAACCAAAAGGTTCAATAAAAGTCTTCATGTCTCAAGAAAGAAAAGAGGCTCACACAGAGCACAAGCAGAATAACAGAATAGCCACAACCGGCAGGCAAAAAGATAAGATAGGAAACTAAACATCTATCCTATTACATGACCGTCATCCAAATCGGTTGAAAATATCCCGTGCTACCGTGTCCCATCGGATAGATCCAGTAACCAAACGCTTTCTGGCCTCCGTTGGAGTGAGTAGCGACCACATACGGATCAATGCAGTGGCCCGGAAGATAACCTGCAAGAAATGAATATTTGTTGTTCTATTAAAAACCAAATCGTTTCTGCAGTTCCAAACTGCCCATAATAAAGCACATGCTCCTACACGGATATGTCTCGCTGTTTCTGAATCTATCCCATCTAACCACGTTCCAAATAACATGTTGATAGTATTCGGAGGAGTAATATGAAAAGCTATGTGGGCCGACCACCACAATTTTTTTGCCAATGGGCAGTCAAGAAAGAGGTGTTTGATGGATTCGTCACTATCACAGAAACTACATTTTGTGGATCTTGTCCAGTTGCGTTTACCCAAATTCTTCTTAGTTAGAATGACTTGTTTATGGACAAACCACAAAAACACTTTGATTTTTAAAGGCACTTTTACTTTCCAAACATGTCTCGAACGAGGAATAGAGCTAGAGTTATTGACATCCAAATTCATGGATTTAACCGATAACTCTCCATTCTTTGTTAGTTTCCAGCGCAACTGGTCGAGCTGTTGAGATAGGTGAACATCCATCAATCTTCTCACAAGATGGAGCCATACTTCCCAACAGTTTCCCGCTAGCGTCCTCCTGAATTGAATAATAAGAGGATTTGACTGTAATACTGTTGCAACGTAAGAGTCTCTTCGCTGAGCAATATTATTGAGAGAAGGATATTGGAGTGCAAGGGACGTCTCCCCTAGCCATGTATCCTCCCAGAACCTCGTGGTAGTACTACTTCCAACTAGAAATTTTGTCCTGTTGAAAAAGACTGATTTTACTCTCATCAGTCCTTTCCAAAAAGGCGAATAAGTCGGCCTTACCATCACCTGGGATAGTGTTTTGGATTGAAGGTACTTATTCCTCAGAAATCTGGGCCCACGTGGAATCCGTCTCTACAGATAGCTTATACAGCCACTTGCTAAGTAAACATCTATTCTTCACCTTTAAATTTTCAACGCCGAGACCCCCTTGGTCTTTCGGTCTACAAACGATATCCCATTTAGTGAGTCTGTATTTCCGTTTTACTTCATCACTCTGCCAGAAGAAGCGCGATCGATGGAAATCTAGCCTTTTCCGAACTCCAACTGGTACCTCAAAAAAGGACAAGAAAAACATAGGCATACTCATGAGGACCGAATTAATGAGAATTATTTGGCCTCCGTATGACATAAGCTTGCCCTTCCAGCAGCTTAGTTTTTTTTCAAATCAATACTCAATGCACTTCCATTCTTTGTTGGAAAGCTTGCGATGGTGGATTGGTATACCCAAATATGTGAAGGGTAAAGACCCTAATTCGCACCCGAACAATTGTTTGTACGCTTCTTGTTCACCTTTAGCTCTTCCAAAGCAGAACAATTCACTTTTATGGAAGTTAATCTTTAACCCCGGCAATTGTTCGAACAGGCATAACACAAGCTTCATGTTCCTTACTTTTGCCAAATCATGCTCCATGAAGATGATAGTATCATTAGCGTAGCGTACTGTAGGATAGACCCTCCTCCGTCAACTAAATGCGGAATGAGGCCACCTACCTGGCTGTCATCCACTAGTAGAAAAAGACCCATTTGTCCCGGTTCGGCAACTGGGACTAAAGGGTCGGTACTAAAGCCCAACACCTTTAGTCCCGGTTCTTACACCAACCAGGACAGATGGGCCTGCACGTGGCCACTGCGGCTTGCCCAGGCAGGTGGGCCTTTTGTCCCGGTTGGTAGCACCAACCGGGACCGATAAGCTTCCACGCGTCAGCAGTTTAGGGGTTAGGGTTTTTGTTTTTTTCTGAGGGGGGTGGGGGTTGGAGGGTTTTGGGTTTTTTTGTAGGGTTAATATAGGGGTTTCATATATTGTGTTAGCTAGCTAATAGAGAGAAGTGTCGTCTCTTATCTCCGTGCTTGGTCGACGGTACGTACTATACGTATAAAGAGGACTCGACACGCTAGCTAGTAATATAAGCAAATGAAGGAAACGATTAAGTATAGAAGATCTTCATGAACATGTACAGAGAGAAGTGACCGACCTGTCCTTCTCCGAGAGATTGGTCGAACAACAAGTTTTCGTATATCTATCCGACGCTGCTAGCTACACACACACACACATACAATGTAAGATCTTTTACAATCCCCTAGCATCTGAACTCAAGTTCCACATGGTATTCTCCGGCTTATTGATGACGTGGTCAAGAAAGAATCCCGCCAATTCCTCTTGAATTGCTTTGATGCGATCTTGTGGTAGGAGTTCATCCCGCATCTGCCACATCTAATTTGAAGAAGGGGTTCAATACATATATATGAATGAAACTTAACACAAATGATGGTAATAAAATGAAATTGTGAATATTATTGCTTACGCACATCAAATTGTCTTTTAGAGTAGCCCCGGGTTTTTTCGCAAGTCGCGTTGTAGATGAACTCGCAAACGTAGTATCCACAGTAATCATTCCCCGATTCCTGCCACAAGAACTTTACGAGAAATAGAGGTCAATCAAACTGATAATGAAGCGTTATTAATGGTATTGATGAAAGTAGCTAGAATCAACGGGATCGAGATGTGCATCGCAGCTCCCCCGGCAGTCCTAGAGCTTGTGCGGTGAATACTTTCCCAACCCTGCGAGACAAAGAAAACAATTACTTGATATCATGAAATGTACAAAGTTTTCGATATGGTGCGATAATGATCGATTGAACTTACTTCTTGAGAATTTTAGTCATGTCCGCATAGTCCTCGGGAGATTTTCGTCTCGAGTCTAAGACGGTTACTAGTCCCTGCTCAAGCTTAATCTCTAGGAGAATATAGTGGAACCTGCGCACGCATGCATAACTCATCAATTACATTACTATAACCTCGAGTAATAAGGGAAACTGAATATGCACAAGACAGTAACACTCACTTGAAGTTGTAAGGAAAGAGTATTTTATCTTTGTTTTGATTTTGAAGCAACGATCGTAGCAAGTTGGCCTCGGTTTCTTTGGCATCAAATTTAACCGTATATTAGTATATGAGATTTGTGTTAATGAACTCAATATCATAGATTTTTTCTTTTATGCTTTCGACGATCTTCAGTCTGCATAATATAGTGAGGATAATTATATATACATGCAATGAAAGAGCTGAGCTATATAGAGAGACTTAATGACAGTACATCTAGTGCCACCCCTAGTTGGTTTTGGAGTATTCACGACAAATCTGGTTGAGGGACTAATGTGTTTGTGAAGAATTGCAGGATAACACAGGTAGTAGTCCCTCAATGATTTGGTTTTCTACCGGAGATGACCCCTAAAAATGTATGAAGACATTGAAGACAAAGGTGGTATGTGAAGATATTCACATTGAAGACTATGGCAAGAGAAGACATTGAGTGAAGACCATGGAGCGCGAAGACTTAGTTGTTTCGTTGTTTCCTTTTCTTCTTTGTTGAGTCATAGGAACTAGCGTACTGTTAAGTGGGGTCCCAGTGAACAAAGTCAGAGTGACTGAAGTGATGCTTAACCAAAATCCTATGTCTTCGAGCGAAGACAATGAGAGCAAATCTTATCCAGAGCTGGATGAGTCAGCTTTACTTGTAGCTGCTACCTCTTGAGCACTGCGTTGGATTTCCCCTAAGAGGAGAGGATGATGCAACAAAGTAGCGTAAGTATTTCCCTCAGTTTTTGAGAACCAAGGTATCAATCCAGTAGGAGGACATGCGCGAGTCCCTCGTACCTACACAAAAACAATAGCTCAACGCAACCAACGCGCTTAGGGGTTGTCAATCCCTTCACGTTCACTTACGAAAGTGAGATCTGATAGAGATGATAAATAATATTTTTGGT